CATCATCATCATCATCCTCCTCCTCATCATCATCATCATCATCAGCACCATCATCATTATCGTCGTCATCATCGTCGCTGTCATCATCATAATCATCATCACCGACATCATTGTCAGTATCGTCGTCATGATGATCATCCTCATCAGCATCATCATCATCATCCTCATCAGCATCATCATCATCATCGTCATCGTCATCACAATATCTTCATCATCGTCATCATCAGCATCGTCATCCTCATCATCATAATCAGAATCATGGTCATCATCACCGTCACCATCATCACCATCGCATCATCCACGGCATCATCCGAAGCAGCAGCAGCAGTAGCGGCATCGTCTTCTCCTTTCTCATCATCATAATCATCATCCACATCATCATCCACATCATCCACATCATCATCATCATCATCATCATCATCATCATCATCATCATCATGATCATCACCTAAACCCCACTCACCATCGTCATGATCACCATCATCATCATCATCATCATCATCATCAGCATCGACATCATCATCATCATCATCATCATCATCATCATCATCATCATCATCATGATCATCGGCATCCTCTTCTTCTTCATCATCGTCGTAAGCATCATCAGATTCATCATCATCATCAGCAGCAGCATCATCGTCTCAATCAGCATCACCATCATCATCCTTAGCAGCATCATCACCATCACAAACCCCACCATCAGCAACACCATCATAATAAAATTCATCATCGACATGACAATGGGCGCACCCCACATTAGTCTCCTCATCTAGCTTTATTGTGTTATCTCCCTCCTTCTCCTCCTCCTCCCTCCTCCTCCGATTCCTCCTCCACCTCGTCTTTTTCCTCCTCCTCCTTCTCCTCCTGCTTGTCCTCTTCCTCTTTCTCTCTCCCTCCTAGGCGAAGACAAGATGCCAAGGAGAGGACACGGGGGGAAGGAGGTAGCACCTGGGGGCACATGGGGGAGGGCGGACGAAGCTCACACAACGGGGGGGTAAAGGGCGAAGGCGGGGAAGAAGGGGTTCATCAGCCAAGCCGGGCGCGGAAAGAAATGCACGGTGCACGAGGAGTTTCGCCGCCAGAAGGACTGAACTGGTCGCGCACTACTTCAGGACAACCAGTACATGGAAACGCAGCTGTTGTGATGCGCGCCACGTCCGTGCTTTATCCGCGGGCGGCACGCTCTTCGATCGGCTATGGGAAATTTCACCCTCCTGCTCATCCTCCTCATCCTCCCCCCTCCTCCTCCTCCTCCTCCTCCCCTCCTCCCTCCTCCTCCTCCACCTCCACCTCCACCTCCACCTCCACCTCCACCTCCACCTCCTCCACCCTCCTCCTCCTCCTCCTCCTCCTCCTCCTCCTCCTCCTCCTCCTCTCCCTCCTCCTCCTCCTCCTCCTCCTCCTCCTCCTCCTCCTCCTCCTCCTCCTCCTCCTCCTCCTCCCCCTCTTATTCCTGCTCTTCCTCCTCCTCCTCGGCCCCCTCATTTTCATCACCACCCTCATCATCAGCATCATCGTCAGCATCATCACCAGTATCATCACCATCATCATCGCAACTGATCGCGGGCGTGGCACCCAGGGAACCACCCTGCGCTCACGGGTCTGCGACAAACTGCACGCCAAATCAACTCGCCATCGCGTCCCTCAGGGCGGTCACAGCTTCTGCGCGGCCCCCGCCGAGGTTCGCGCGCAACTGCCAAGTTGTCGTTCGGCGGACTGCCACCGACAGCTCAACGCCCCAACGCTGTGTCAGGGCGCTGATGACCGCATTCGTCCCTCGCCTGCCAATTATGCCTCGTCCCTGGCCAACTGGCGGAGGTGGCGGAAGGCGGCCGTGTCGTGGCGCCTTCCTGTCTCGAGCGCGAGCGGCAGCACCGACCAAGGGCAGCGGCCTATAGGGCAACGCTGCCTCTTGTCCGTTTCTGCGTCTGCTTTGGCAGCGCCGTCTCGGCCTGCGGCCGCGGCCAAGCCTGGTGCGCATCACGGCACCGCGCACCAGACTGTGACGTCCATCAACAAACGTGGGCAGTCGGCGCGCTGCGCTTCTATGTCGAAGAGGGTTTGCTCTCGGCGCGCGCCGACTGCTTGGCCGCAGCTGCTGCAAGCGCCGAACAGCTGGCGGCCTGCGCCCTGGGCGTCGCAAGAATGTTCCAGGCCCACCGGTGCCAGGCTGGGACATGGGCCTGTCGGGTTGCGTGATCGACGCACACATTGTGCATGCGCTGCCACGCATCCTCAACATGCTCGCTTCGGGATTCGACGCCCCCGCCGCATGGACACTTGAAAGCTCGGCGCGCCTTGCTGCAAAGGCGCCCCCCGCACTCCCGGCCCGCGCGCGGGCCGGGCCAGCGCGGGCGCGGCTGGCGCAGGGGGCGCCAAGCGGCGCCAGGTCCTTGCCCGACAGCGCGCGCTGTGAAGCAGTAGTCATAGTCGCTCAGGCGTTGCGCGGCTGCCCCAGGCGGGGCCTGCTGCCATGCGCCAGCGCGCGGCCCTCTGCTGGAGCAGAGCCTCACCGCGCCCCCACCAGTGCTCGCGCCCCGCAAGGCCTACGTTTTGTCGGCAAAACCTTCGCGTGAGCGTTTTTTCCAACTTGGGACCAGGTTCGCGGGCGAGGTGGGCCCACGCGAGGATCGACCCCCGCCTCTGGCTCGTCGCCAGGGCGCCCCAGCCAGGCCGCGGCAGCGGGAGGAAACGGGCGGCCCGACAGGTAGCGGCGAGGGGCTGCTCGGTCTGCCCCGGGTCGCCCAACGCCGCCACGCCTCCGCGCGATCGCACGCCTGCCAGGTTCTGGGCACAGGAGGCGACCCGCGCCGCCGGCGCGAGCTGCTCCTGCCCGCGGACGCCGCTGCCCCCGACGCGCGGCGGCAATCTGGACCGTTCGCGCCGCGGCCCCGTCAGCGGGCCCAGGCGCGCCAGCCGCTGGAGCACCGCGAGGAGCTCCTGACCGCGGGCGGCAGCTGCGGCCGCGGCGCTGGCTGGCGGCACGCCCCCCGCGCAAGCGCGCGAGCGCGCCAGCGCCGCAGTGGCGCGGGACGAGGGCGACCGCCTGCGTCGCGGGCAGGCGCGGGGAGGCCTCCGCGGGCACGTTAGCCAGCTTCCCGAGGAGGGCGGCCGCGCGCTGCGCCGCGCCCGCGCAGCGGCCCGCCGCGTAGCTGGCGGTGCCCACGGCTACTCGGCGCGGCCGAGGTCGCCGAAAACGCCCTGCGCTGGGGCGCCAGCGCGGCGCCACAGCGTCTCCCAGCAGGCAGGCCAAGACGCGCACGCCCTCGGCCCGCAGCCCCGCTCGCGCCGCCGCCGCCCGCCGCCCCCCCCCCCAGCTGGCGCAGCTGGGACTTCGCACCGCAGGCGCAAAGCAGCGGGACCAGCGGGTCGCCTTAGCCCACCCCGCCCGCGGCCGCGAGGCACCGGCGGCGGCCGCGGCCGCCATCAAATGAAAGTAGGGGGAGGCGCGTCGACAACAAAGCCCCGATGGGGGGGAGCTCCGGCGCGGCGGCCCCCAGCTCGGCGAGGCAGGCAGCACGGCCCACGGCGCCGCAAACGTTCTGTGCGACCAGCTGCAAGCAAAATGCCAGGGCGGGGCTCGGCAAGCGCTCGCGCCGCGTGGGCCTGTAGCTCCGCCCCGGCCGCGGTGCCCACGGCAAACTGGCCTCCGCCCAGGCCTGCCGCGAGGCACTCCCTCCGCGGCCGCAAGAACGCGCGCCCCACCAGTCTCTTGAAAGCATTCGGCGCTGCAAAGGGCTGGACGCCGCCTGCAACCTTGCGCGGCGCTGCGAGCCCGGAATGCGCCAGCGCCGCTGCCGCGATCTCGGGAACTCGCCCCTGCGCGAGGCGGTCGCCCACGCCGCGGGGCGCCTCCAAAGCGCCCAGGTCTGCCTGCGCCGCTCGCGGTGCCCCCCTCCGCCCCTGCCGCCCAGCTGCCCACGGGGCTCGCGCGGAGAGCCCGTCTCTGCGCTCGGCGGCTCCGCGGCAGACGCTGGCCCCCGCGGGCGCCCCTCCAGCTGCTCCGCGGACCGCGGCTGGAGCTGCGCCTGCAATCGCCCCCCCGCCCCCTCCGCGAGCGGGGCGAGCCTGGGGCCGGCCAGCAGCGAGGCTGCTCTGGAGTGCTCCTCGTTGAACGTTTTGCGGAGCACCTCGGCTGCCAGGTAACTCTCGCCCCGCCAACCGCCGCCCCGCCCGCGGCGCGCGCGGGCGAGGCCGCGCGCCCGCCGGCCTGCCGCCCGCAGAAGCTCCGCCCAGGCGCCGCTGTGGAGGCGGGCAGAGCTCGCGGACCAGCCGCGCTCGATCTTGCACACAATTGCACGGCGGTCGCCGTCGCCAGTCGCCCCGCGCGCGCAGCGGCGCCGCGAAGAGGAGCCGATCGCGGACCAGGAAGAGCTTCCGAGCCTGGCCCTCCTCCAGGATGCCTGGCGCTGCTCGGAGCACAGCGCGGCAGATCTCCTCTACACCTGCTGCGGCGGCCAGTGCCTCGCCAGGCACGTAGCGGAGCGCGGGGCAGTCGATCGCAATGGACTCGACCATGTCGAGCCCGTCCATCTCCGCCCAGCAGGGCCCTCCCAAGCCCCGGAGACGCGGCGGCGGGACTGGCGGCGCCGGAAGCGGCAACGCCGTCGGGGGCCCCAACGCGGCCGGGCCGGGCGCCACTCCTTCCGCCAGCGCAAGGAGCGCGCTAGCGACCAACACCGCCCCCCGGCCCAGCGGGCTCAGCGCTGGCGGCGCCGGCCGCAGGCGCCTCCGAGCGGCTGGCGGCCGACTCCGCGGCTGCGCCTGCGCGGAGTCGGCAGGGCACGCCGCCCCCAGACCCCCCAGCGCAGGCCCCGCAAATGTCCGCGCGGAAAACCCGCGTCGCTCGAAGCGGCCCCTTGCAACCCCGGCAGGCGAGCGGTTGCGACCCGGTCGGCGGCCCCAGGTCGCTTGCTTCGCCGACCCGCACGCCAGCGCAGCAGCGGCGCCACGCACGGCTGCCAGGGCGAGGCCAGGCGCGATGATGCGGCGGCCTCCTGGCGGGCCCCGCGCAAGCGGCGGGCGGCCCGGAGCAGACTTGTCGTCGTCCGCCCAGGCCTGGTCGAGCTCCTCCAGCAGGGCGCCCCTCTCCTCGCGATCGAGCGGCTCTTCGCCCAGCTCGTCCGCCAACTTCCTCGTGGCCCAGGCGTCGCCCATCCCGCGGCGCGGCCTGGGCGAGCCCCGCCAGCTCTGCGGCGGCTCTGGACGCGGCTGCCTCCCGTTTTTGCGCCGCTCGCTGAACTGCCTCCTCCTCCTCCTGGGCGGCCGCCGCGGCAACTACCGCCTTGGCTTCCGCTGCCTGGCGCGTCGCAGCCGCCGGCGTTTCGTCGGCCGCGGTCGCCGTGGCCGCCACGCGCCGCGCCGCCGCCCGTAATTTTTCCAGGCGGTTGCTGGCGCGCCAGCGCGCCTGTCGCTCGCGGGTCGCGGCCTCCTCCCGCTGCAGAGGCTCCACGGCTTCCGGCGGCGCGCCTGCCTTGCGCGCGGCGGCCGCAGCCTGGCAGAAGGCGTCGGCATGGGCCTTGGGCCGCTGCGGCTGGCCTCTGGGCAAGGCTGGCCACGCCTCCGCAGCTCCGCGGGCGACATCCGCGGGGGGGGCGGAGGCGCAGCACCAGCGGCCCCGGCGCGAGGGGCCGCGCACTGGCGCAGGCGGTGCGGTCCTCGGAATTGCATAAGCTGCAGGCGCATTGCCACTCGGCCCTGCATGCGGGGAGGCCGAAGGGCACGCTGGTCCTGTCCTCCTCGTCCTCCGTCGGGGATGTACTGGTCCAGGTCAATCCAGACCCGGGCCACTCAAGCTTGGCAAGATCCTGCGAAACCCGACAGGATCCTGACCCAAACCCAGGTCAATGCCCCCTGGCTCTGCAGGATCCAGCAGTATCTGGCGTTTTGACTGACTCCCGTTTGCATTGACCCCCGTCTCAAAACTCCCGACTCCGTCTCCACCTCCCCCTCCCGTGACAAGCGACGCGCAGCACGGCAAGGTTGGCGTCGCCGCTGCACCACCTGCCACGCCATGGAGTCGGCACCGCGGAGATGGGAAGCGTAAACTCTGAGATACCAGAAGGGGGCTGCCCCCGTTCGCTGTTGCCTCCTCCTCCTCCTGCTCCTCCTCCTCCTCCTCCTCCTCCTCCCCTCCTCCTCCTCCTGCTCCTCCTCCTCCTCCTCCTCCTCCTCCTCCCGCCGCCACCGCCGCCGCCGCCTCGCCTCCGCCTCCGCCTCCCCCTCCTCCCTCCTCCCCCTCCTCCTGCTCCTCCTCCTCCTCCTCCTCCTCCTCCTCCTCCTCCTCCTCCTCCTCCTCTCCTCCTCCTCCTCCTCCTCCTCCTCCTCCTTCCTCCTCCTCCTCCTCCTCTTCCTCCTGCCCTCCTGATCCTCCTCCTGCTCCTCCTGCTCCTCCTCCTCCTCCTCCTCCTCGTCCTCCTCCTCCTCGTCCTCCTCCTCCTCCTCCTCCTCCTCCTCCTCCTCCTCCTCCTCCTCCTCTTCCTCCTCCTCATCCTCCTCACCCTCACCCTCCCCTCGTCCCTTCCTCCCCCTTCTCCCCATCCACAATGTCTCTTCATGAATACGAACAGTTTCTCTCCCGTGGAAATGCGTAATCGTGCCCCCCCCTCTACGTATTGATGCATTGTTGTTGTGTGAATAACTCTCTCACACTCACTTGTTCTCGCTCTTTTTTTTCTCTCTCTTCTCTCTCTCTCTCTCTCTCTCTCTCTCTCTCTCTCTCCCAACCTATATATATTATATATATATATAATATATATGTATGTATGTGTCTCTGTATCTCTCTATATACATTCACATATCATTCTCGCGCAATATATATATATATATATATATATACAAGACTGCAGTGGCGCTTCGCGCCACTGCAGTCTTGGTCCTTGAAAATTGGTATGCAGGCGGAATGGCAGCAAGGTCAAGCCGACAATTTAACGATAACTCCTGATTGCCTTTTCTGGCATTGCCGCTATAATGATGTTAGTCGTTATCCTTCCTCCATGCCTATTGTTCCTTATTTTCGCCATACCCTGCGCATTCTCCACATCCTCCTCAGCTCTTTTTTTGCGGAGGCTCCTCCTTGGAGAGCCTCTAGGGGCCTCACAAAAGTTGTTTCAGGCTTTCTGAACGCCTTCTGGAGGCCTCCTGGGCGTATTCTGGGGGCCTCTGGGGGCTTCCTCGGGCCACCCTGCCTCCAACCGCCGTCTCCCTGAACGACCGAAACACGATTTGGAATTCTTCGGAGGGTGTCGTTGGGCCATCTTGGGCCGCCATGGAGCTCTCTGAGGGCCATCTTCGACCCGTGTTGTGCCGTTTTGGGGCTCTCTTGGACTGCCTGGAAGCCCTTTCGGATGGTTGTTGGGCGATTTGGGAGCCTCCCAGGCGGCTTCGGACGCCCAGAAGACCGCCGTCTTGGAGCGTCGGGAAGCCGAAAAGAGGAGAACCCCAAAATTCACCAAGAACCCGCAGAAAATCAATGATTTTTGCCTCGGGGGGCCTTCTTGGGAGTGCTCTTGGAGGCCTCTTTGGGGCCGTCCTGGAGGCCTCTTGGGCCATCTTGAGGTCACGTCGGTCACTCTTGGAGCGCTCTTGTGCTGTCTTGGGGGTCTCTGGGACGTCTCCGATGACCCCCCTGATCGCCCTAAGTGTGCTGGGAAGGCTTGGCGAAACGCCTTGCGAGGCACGGTGGCCGCTTCGAGGCCCGTCTTGAGGGCCCCAAAGCCCCAGGTCCCGGGAGTCCGGTTTTGAGGGGGGGGGATGGGTTTTCCCCCCGCCCGGGCTTATAAAAATATAGGAAGAGGAATATGCAATACCCTCCACCTTAATATCTTAACTTCTATGTATGTATATGTACATGTATGTATCCCTCTCTCTCTCTCTAGGTATGCCCCTTTCTCTCTACTCTGTAGCAAGGCTCCGACAATAAAATGCATGATGTCATGTGCGCGTTTCCAATCGGGGTTTTCTTTGATGTTCAAAAACTTGTTCTGCTGCAGTGTTGGCCTCGTTTCGGGATCGTCGCTTTGCTCATGTCGTTCAGGATGGCACTCTCACCCCAGCGCGGGCCGCATTTCTGGATCCGATTCCTTCCTCGTTGTTATTGTTGTCGCCCCCCTCCCCTCCCCTCCTCCGCCTTCCCCTGGTTTTCCTGTTCCTCTCGCTTCTCCTGCTCCTGCTCATGCTCCTGCTCATGCTGCTGCTAATGCTCAGCGCCTCCTTCCTCATACTCCTCCTCTGCCTGCTACTCATCCTCCTCATACGCCACCTCCTCCTGCTCCTCCTGATTGTAGTGGCCTTCGGCCAGTGCCGCCGATCCGGGTCGCTCGGGGTTATTCTCCAGACGCAGACATTATGGGCGCACACTCAAACGAACACACGCAGTCACACCACCCAACCCGCGCCGCAGACATGGGGGCCTGTCAGGGCGTCCTGGGGGGCTTCTCGGAGACTTTTGAGGGCCCTGTTGGGAGCTCTTAGGCGTCTGGGAGCGTTTTGGGGGGCATCTTAGGGGCCTGTCAGGGCGTCCTGGGGCGCTTATTGGAGGCTTTGGGGGGCCCTCTTGGGAGCTCTTGGGGCCTCCGCTTTTTCCGCTTTTCGTCCCTCTTTGGGGTCTTCTTGGGGACGCTTGGGGGGGCTCTTGGGCCGTCACCCCGCATCCTACGGAAACTCGCACCCCCCCCCCCCATCCCCCCTTCCCCGGCAGAGCCACCCCGGCAACCCCCCCAGAGGCTGAGGCTCAGCCTCGAGGTTGTAGCTGAGATTCCTTGAAACTCACACGCCGGATCGGCGGATATGTATGTACACAACTCAACTTTCTGATTGCGCGTCATACGATGGGGTCCGTGGGGGATACAGGTCCGCTCGTACACCCGTCGGTGAATAAAGAAAAAAATAGCGCAAAGGGGAAGGATGGGTGAAAGGTAGGAGCACGTACCTAGCTTGCCCCACTCCTCCCTCTCCTTCCTCCCTCGTTCCCCCCCCCTCCTCTTCCCGAAAGGAAGTGGGGCGGGATCCTTGACGGCCCACCAAGTCAGCTCCGTCTCGCTCTGACAGTCAAGGCCTGCGGAGGGGAGGTGAGTGTGAGCCCCCATAACAGTAAGGGAGGCGCGTGATGAAATGGAACGAGGAGGAGGAGAAGGATGTAGAGGAGGAGGAGGGAGGCGAAGAGGGGGGAGAAGGCGGAAGAGGCGGAGGAGGAAAACACAAAGGAGGGGGGAATGAAGAGAGGGCAACGGGGAGGGCGGGAGAAGGCGGGGAAAAGGAAGGGGGAGGGGGCGGGAGAGAGCGACGGGATCTCACGGCGGGTCGGGCGGGCGGACCTTGACAGAGAGGACGGGCGGGCGGATCCGATAACTCCTCCCTGTCGCACCGCCAAGCTTGTCCACAGGCCAGCCCGGGCGTTTTGCTCGAGAAATCCTTGGCAAGTGCCATCCCCGACGCTTAGACAACGCATCAGTTACACGGATGGGGGCCAGGTCACTTTGAGAATGTGATACGACTCTCGTCTCAGCACCGCGCAATTTCATGATAAAAACCGTTCTACGGCTACTAGGCGTAGCATTGCTCAGCAACAGCATTTAAAACTCGCGGGCCCTGATTGTGCTACGCGCAGTAGGACCAAAAGTCTTATTATTGTAGGGGGCCCCACCTGGAAGCTGGCGATGGGGAACGAGCTTGTCTGGCATTGCTTGGACCGCTGCCACCAATCCTGACCAAGGGCTTGCATCCTTCCCTGAGCCCCGCGCTCGTGGCGAGGCTTGCAAAGGATTGGCTGGACTCTAGTTTCGCCACTCGTTTTCCAATTGAAGTCAGGGCAGCTGCCGTCCAGCAATTTTACCGCCAGTCCCTCCAGGCGCTAGCAGAACGCTGCAGCTGCCCCGAGGTCGCAGAGGCCACCACTCTTCCATAATGGGTTTGCTATAAAAGGCCCCGCGAGGGCCGTGCGGACGTCGCTCGGCACCATAGTGCTGCTGTCTCGGCGTGGATGCACCGAGGACGTCACGAACCTCCGAAGCCGAACGCTGGCCCTCCTCCTCCTCCTCCTCCTCCTCCTCCGCCTCCTCCTCCTCCTCCTCCTCCTCCGCCTCCTCCTCCGCCTCCGCCTCCTCCTCTTCCTCCTCCTCCGCTCCCTCCACCCTCCTTTTCCTCCTGCTCCTCCTCCTCCTGCTCCTCCTCCTCCTCCTCCTGCTCCTCCTCCTTCGTTCCTTCCTTCCTTCCTTCCTTCCGTCCTTCCTTCCTTCCTTCCTTCCTCCTTCCTCCTTCATCCTTCCTCATTCCTCATATTGTCCTCCTCCTCCTCCTCCTCCTCCTCCTCCTCCTCCTCCTCCTCCTCCTCCTCCTCCTCCTCCTCATCCTTCCTGCTGTTCCTCCGCGCGGCGGCGCGTGGGGGTTGCGGGCCCACGGGCACGCGCCAGTCGATGCCACCGATGGAGAAGAGGTCGGTGATGTCGGCGCCGTTGCGGGACCACTCCAGCAGCAGCACGCGTGACGTCGCTTCGGGAGGGGCACAAGGAACACTGAGAGGGCGAAGGGCGGGAAGAAAGGGAGGGAGAGGAGGGAGCATGAGGGAGGACAGGGGAAGCGAGCGAGGCTAGATGAGAGGGAAAGGATCTCCTCCTCCTCCTCCTCCGCCTCCTCCTCCTCCTACACCTACACCTACACCTACACCTCCTCCTCCTCCTCCTCATCATCATCCTCCTCCTCCTCCTCCTCTTCGTCCTCCTCCTCCTCCTCCTCCTCCTCCTCATTCTCTTCGTCCTCCTCCTCCTCATCCTCCCCCTCCTCCTCATCCTCATCCTCCTCATCCTCTTCCTCCTCATGCTCCTATTCCTCCTCCTGCTCATCATGCTCCTTCTCCTCCTCCTCCTCCTCTCATCCTCTCTCCTCCTCCTCCTCCTCCTCCGCCTCCTCCTCCTCCTCCTCCTCCTCCTCCTCCTCCTCCTCCACCGCCTCCTCCTCCTGCTCTCCTCCTCCTCCTCTCCTCCTCCTCCTCCTCCTCCTCCTCCTCCTCCTCCTATTCCTCTTCCTCCCCATCCTCCTCCTCCGCCTCCCCATCCTCCTCCCCCCGTACAACTTCTCCCTCCAACTCCTCCCTCCAACTCCTCCCCAAAACTCCTCCTCCAACTCATCCCTCCAACTCCTGCCTCCAACTCCTCCAACTCCTCCCTCCGACTCCTCCCTCCAACTCCTCCCTTCAACTCCTACCTCCAACTCTTCCCTCCGACTCCTCCCTCGAACTCCTCCCTACACGTTCTCCTCCTCTTCCGTCTCTTCTTCCCCCTCCTCCTCCTCCTCCTCCTCCTCCTCCTCCTCCTCCTCCTCCTCATCATCATCAGCAGCAGCAGCAGCATCGTAACCACCACAACCACCACCACAACCACCGCCACCATCACCACCACCATCAGCATCAGCATCAGCATCATCAGCATCATCAGCATCGTCAGCATGATGATGATGATGATGATGATCATCAGCATAATCATAATCATCATCATCATCATCAGCATCATCATCATCATCATCATCATCATCATCATCATCATCATCATCATCATCATCATCATCATCATCATCCTCAGCAGCAGCATCATCATCATCATCATCAGCATCATCATCATCATCATCATCATCATCATCATCATCATCATCCTCATCATCATCATCATCATCAGCATCATCATCACGTCATCAGCATCATCAGCAGCAGCATCATCATCCTCATCATCATCATCGTCGTCGTCGTCGTCGTCATCATCATCATCATCATCATCATTCATCATCATCACATCAGCATCATCATCATCATTCATCATTTATCATCATCCATCAACATCCTCATCATCATCATCATCATCATCATCATCGTATATACGCATCATCATCATCCTCATCATCACATCATCAGCAGCAGCCATCATCATCATCAGCATCAGCATCATCATCACCAGCAGCATCATCATCATCGCCACCACCACCACCATCACCATCATCATCATCATCATCATCATCATCAGCATCAGCATCGACATCATCATCATCATCATCATCATCCTCATCATCATCATCATCATCAGCAGCAGCATCATCATCGTCAGCATCAGCATCATCAGCAGCAGCAGCTTCATCATCATCAGCAGCATCATCATCATCATCAGCAGCATCATCAGCATCACCATCATCATCAGAATCACCATCCGCAGAAGCATCATCATCGTCATCACCATCAGCATCATCATCAGCAGCATCATCATCGTCATCATCAGCAGCATCAGCATCAGTATCATCATCAGCAGCATCATCAACAACATCATCATCAGCATAATCATCATCGTCATCGTCAGCATCATCATCATCAGCAGCAGCAGCCGCAGCAGCATCATCATCATCATCATCATCATCATCCTCATCATCATCATCATCATCATCATCGTCATCATCGTCATCAGCATCATCAGCAGCAGCATCAGCATCAGCATCAGCATCATCATCAGCATCATCATCGGAATCATCATCATCAGCATCAGCAGGAGCAGGCAGCATGATCATCAGCAGCAGCATCATCTTCATCATAGTCATCAGCATCATCAGCAGCAGCATCAGCAGCATCATCATCATCAGCATCACCATCCTAATCACCATCAGCAGCAGCATCTGCATCAGCATCATCATCGGAATCAGCATCGTCATCATCATTATCACCATCCGCATCATCAGCAGCAGCATCATCATCATCAGCATCATCATCAGCATCACCACCATCAGCATCATCATCGTCATCGGCATCATCATCAGCAGCAGCATTATCGTCATCACAACCACCACCACAACCAGCATCAGCATCATCAGCATCATCATTAGCTGCATCAGCATCATCATCAGCATCATCATCATCAGCATCATCAGCAGCAGCATCATTCTCATCATCATCATCATCATCATCATCATCATTATCATCATCATCAGCAGCAGCAGCATCAAGATCAGCATCATCATCATCATCATCATCATCATCATCATCAGCATCATGATCATAAGCAGCAGCATCAGCAGCATCATCATCAGCATCATCAACAACAGCAGCATAGCATCATCATCAGCAGCAGCATCATCAGCATCATCATGAGCAGCATCATCACTAGCATCATCATCAGCAGCAGCAGCATCATCAGCAACATCGGCATCATCATCATCATCATCATCATCATCATCAGCATCAGCATCATCATCATCAGAATCACCATCCGCAGCAGCATCATCATCGTCATCACCATCAGCAACAGCATCAGCAGCAGCATCAGCATCGTTATCATCATCATCATCATCATCATCATCATCAGCATCATCATCACCATCATCATCACCATAAAAATCAGCAGCAGCATTGTCATAATCATCAGCATCAGCATCAACATCATTATCATCAGCAGCAGCATCATCAGCATTATCACCATGACCATCATCATTAGCAGCATCAGCATCAGCATCAGCATCATCATCAGCACCATCATCAGCATAATAATCGTCATAATCATCAGCAGCAGCGTCATCAGCATCATCAACATCTTCATCAGAAAAATCAGCATCGCCACCAGGACCACCATCGACTTGATCATCATAAGCAGCAGCATCATCATCATGATTAGCATCATCATCAGCATCATCGTTATGGTCCTCATCATCAGCAGCATTAGCATCGTCATCATCAACATAATCGTCATCATCACGATCTCATCATCAGCATCATCATAAGCAGCATCATCATCATCCTCATCATCATCATCATCATCATCATCATCATCATCATCACCCTCATCTTCCTCCTCCTCCCTCCCTCCATCCATCCCTCCCTCCCTCCCCTCCCTCCCTCATCCTCCTCCTCCTCCTCCCCCTCCTCCTCGTCCTCCTCTATCCCTCCATCCCTTTTCCTGACAAGTTCGCCGACTCTTCGGCGTGTGTGAGACGCTGTCGTCGTCTTCGTCGTCGTCGCCAGTCCCAAGAAAATGTTGGAACGCACAGAACAAGAAACGTCGTACTCAAGTCGATTCCCTTTTCTTTCTTCCTTCCCTGCGGGGGGGAGGGGGAAGGGGCAGGGGGGGGTGTAGGGGGGGAGTGTAAGGAGTGGGCCCCGGGTCAGATCACGGGACCACCTACGGACAAGGGGGGCAGGGAAAGGTTCCCCCTGCAGGCGGGGCTGGCACTGGTCCCTGCCCTGGCCCTGGCCCTGGCCCCAGCCCCGGCCCCGACCACGGCCCCAGCCCTGGCCCTGGCCCCGATCCTAGCCGTGGCCCCGGCCTCGGGGTCCCAGGCGGGGACTCTGGGGTCCCTGGGGATGTCCCGCCTTCAGGGTCGGTGGCACCAGCCCTAAAGACTTCACAATAACTCATTCCTGTCGCACCCCCAGACGTGTCGTTAAACTGGGCCAGGCGTTTCGCCTAAGACTTCCCTCGCCATGTAAGATCCTGAAGCTTGACATTCATAACAGCTTCAAAGACGGAACACAGATCGTTTTCAAGATGTTACTCTCGTCTTGGCGCCGCGCACATTCCTCTTCAAAGTTTGCAACAGATTCAAGGGTGGAGGCTGGCTACTTTCCAAAATGTTGCTCTCGCCTTCGCGCCGCGCACACTCGCCTTGCAAGTTCGCAACAGGGTCAAGCAATCGTTGGGTATGGTGTTCTGGCACGATGTCGGATTGTCAGGGCGCAACATTCAAATTGATTCGCGGTGTTGAAGTCCCCGGAAGGATCTTCTGGCACCTGTTCGGATTGCCAAGGCGCAACAGTCACGTGGATTCGCGGCATTGAAATCACAGGAATTTGCTTGAGCAGGGTTGAAGATTCTCATACGGTTGTCTTTCAGTGGGGCCCTTCCTGCAATCCAAACATATGATCGAGGGACTTATGGAGAGGAAACTTGGAGGGCTTATTGCAACATCGTATATGCGTCTTGGGCCTACAATGGTCTTCATCCCCCACTCTTCCTAATCCTCATCCTCCTCCTTCCCCTCCTCCTCCTCCTCCTCCTCCTCCTCCTCCTCTTCCTCCTCCTCTGACGCGCTGGAAGGATGCTCTCTGGCAAGGGCTTTCTCAGCTGCGTTGCCTCTGGGGGTGGCCAGGGCAACCCCTCGAAGCCCCTTCGAAGCGGCCCCGAAGGGCACTCGTGGCACGGCGCTTTGAGGGCACAAGTGGCGAAGAATCGCACCCTTCCGTGCCGCCAGCCACGACAGCAGCGGCATGTCACTCAGGAGATACACCCACAGCAGGTTAGGGAGAAGAAAACGCACCACCACCAGCACCACCTGGAGGATGGAGGCAGGGGATTGTCAGGGGTGGTGGTGGTGTATATCAATTCGGGCGCTTTCGCGGAACATCGTGCACACCCGCATCCCGCACACAAGCTCATCCTGAATCCCCCCAGGTGGTGGTGGTGGTGGTGGTGGTGGTGGTGGTGGTGGTGGTGGTGGTGGTGGTGGTGGTGGTGGTGGTGGTGGTGGTGGTGGTGGTGGTGGTGGTGGTGGTGGTGGTGGTAGTGGTGGTGGTGGTGGTGGTGGTGGTGGTGGTGCGCTTCCTGCTCCCAGCAGGTTCGTGCATGTCGTGAAGACGTCAGCCTTCGATTCTGACACCACATGGATAGTTCAACCTTGAACAATCGCACGGTTGAATGCCCGCGCGGGGGTCGACGCCGCGTCGACACGGCGCGAACGTACCGCACACCGATCCTGGCCTGGCCAGGATCGGTATCAAGAGGTGCATGGTCGGCGACCCCCGACAAGTCCTCCCAGGCAGGAGGGGCCCGCACGGGGCCCATGGCCAAGTACAGCACGGTGCCGCGGATCCCCGCAGGGAAACGAGCCCCGGGCCCCCCCAAGGGTTCTCCCCACCGGACCACTTCGCCACCCCGAGTCGCTTTTGGACGGTTCCCGGACACGGGGAAGGCCGCCAGAGCCCGGAAGCGGGACGAGCCTCCAGGAACTGTTTTCCTCAGGACCACGTGCCTGCCTTGCGGCAGAAGTAGGACGAGAATGATGTCATGATGCGGTTGCCCCAGGAAACGTTCCAGGAGATTCGGAGCATCTAGCGGCCCTCGTTGCTGCAGCCCGTGTGGAACATAAGGAGACCTCGGAATTCCTGGAAGTCTGGGAGGTCCTAGAACATCTCATTATCATGTTAGCCAGCGTGGACCCCAAACAGAAAGTCATTGCACTATGGATGTGTAACCTGTGGGGGTGCAATCAACGTGTTGCAAGCTATGTGGTGTAAGCTACGTGGTGCAAGCTATCTGGTGCAACCTCGACGGACGCCCCAAGCGCGGGCTGCAACGAGGCAGCAACGGGCGGCGTCGCGGCGAGGCCTCGACGGACCCCCCCCCCCAAAGTGGGCGGCACCGAGGCGGCAACGAGGCGGCAACGCGCGGTGACGCGGCGAGGCCCCGACGGGCCCATCCCATGTCTTAGGAAAGCAAGCAGGAGCCCCCAAGTGCAAGCGCTGCTTGGCGAATGACCCCTTGCTCCTCCGAAGCGGGGGGCCGCCCGCGCGGCCTATGGCCAGGTACAGCGCGGTGCTCAGGCCGCGGATCTGGTCCCCGTTGCCGCGGCACTCCTGCGCCGGGGGGGGACGGCTCCTGCTCGGCGCTTCTGCTCCAGGGCGAGCGCGTCCCCGCTGTTGAGCCCACAGGAGGGGGGGGGGACGGCGGCGGCGGCGGCGGACGGCGGAATGAGCGTTCGAGTCGTTCCGAAACAGAGAAAAACAAAGAACGAAGAAAACCAACAACGAGCTGGATTTGAATCAGGAGAGTTTGCCTTCGGGCCACAAGATTGTGGAGAAGGACAACGGAGAGGGGGAGGAGGGAGGGAGGCGGGAGGAGGGGGGGGAGGAGGGGGAGGGGAGGTAGTTCGTGGCGGAGGCCATTGCCCCAGATGAGGCTTAGCAGGAACTTCACCCTCCTCTAACTTATTGCATCTGCACTAGCAGCTGAACCGTGTATCTCTTGAGCTGCGGGACATGACAGAACGGCTCGGACTGGGATGATGGGGGGGATCACGACAGGCTGGGGTGGGAGGAGAGAGGACCCGCCTGCGGCGCGGCGGCTGGCACGGCAGCCCTGGCCCGCAGCCCCCGCCGACGCCGGGCGAGCGTTGTCTGCCGGGGAACGCGCTAGCGCATCGCGCTCCCCAAGTTTTGGGGGGGCTTCGGAGGTGCCCACCTCTCTCCCTCCTCTCGTGGCCTCCCCCTGTCTCGACCCTTCCTCCCCCTCCTCCCTCCCCTGCGGGCGCTTCCTTGGCCCAGCCGCTCCTTCCTCCTGAACTCCCCAACCAATGCTTGCACTGAAGAGATCCTCGGGGAGATTGAAAGACTTGGCGAAAGTCCCCAGCCGAGCTCGGCGGGCAGCTGAATTCCTGGGCTCTGGGTTCCCAGTTCCAGGTTCTGGGTTCCGGGCCGATTTCGGAGGGCGGGTTCGCGGGTTACCGGTTCCTGGTTCAAATGTTCCTGGCAATGTAAGGTTGG